GCAACCCCAGGCCTCCTCTCACAGGAGGGCTCAGCCGGGGCTGGATGCGTAGGGTGTGGAGAGAGAGCGGGAGGAGACAAGGAGAACACCCAGGCTTCTTGCCTGAGCAACTGGGTGGATGGAGTCGCCATTCACTGAAACGAGGGGACCGGGAAGGTGCAACATTTGGGGGGCCCAGGGCCTTCCTTTTGGGGTCTGTTAGGTTTGAGAGGCTAGACAGCCATGTGAAAATGTTCCCTCTGGGCTGAACTTCCAGTGTTGTGGGTGGTTTTTAATGATGAGTGCTTTAACAACTAATTGGAAATAAAATGCCAGGTGACTCTTTTTAAAAATCACATTTCTGTGTGTTTTTGGAGAAGGGGGCCCAGCAGCTTAGGTTTCCACAAAAGCACTTCACACACACGGCCCCCTGATGTGGGTCCCTGTTCACTAAGTGTAAGCAGGCTCCTCACCTCCTTTCCGATTGCTCGTGGAAGATTCTGCTAAAACCACCCATCTTTGACCTCCGCCTCATGCGTAGGGTCCACTCACCATGGGGCCCGCTCCCAGCAGAGAGGGAGAGGGCGTGCCCTGGGACGGCTCTTCTGGTGTGGAGCTTCTTCATCTACGCCATCATTGGCATGCAGGTGGGTGCGGGTGGCCGCCAACCAGTTTCCGTCATCACCCTTGGTCAGGTGGCCGTCGGTAGGGGCTGGGACTCTTCACTGGACCCAGAGGTTAATTTCAGTTGGGAGGTGAGCACTGGCTCGGCCTCCGGCTTTAACCCGAGTGGCGGAAGGGTGCTGTTGAAAACAATGGCTTGGAGGAGGCTGGTGAGGCTCTGTCCTCCCTCTGCCATCTCTGAGCTGAGGGTGAAACGGAGGGTGTCTCATTCCACATTCACACTCGGCACACACCAAGCGGGTCTGCCAGGGAGGGTCTCTGTGGGGGGGACAGACAGGCCTGACCCTGGGGCCCCATCACCCAGAGGCACTCTGTCTACCCCCCAGGTCTTTGGAAACATCGCCCTGGATGATGAAACCAACATCAACCGACACAATAACTTCCGAACCTTTCTGCAGGCTCTGATGCTACTGTTCAGGTATGCTGCCTGGGGCGTGCCTGGCTATCTCAGGGCTCCTCCCCTCGGGATAGAAAGGGAGCGCTGGCATTGGAACCATGCCTGCCATCTCTATTCTCAGCTTGCCCTTCCGCAGGGCTCTTGCTGGCCTCTGAAGAGAGGCAGGGCTGCCCTGGTGAGGGGAACAGGGAGTCCTGGCTGGGATGGGGTGGGTGACTTCTGTTGCCCTTGCTCCCTGGTGGCAGTAAACAGGCCTCTGATGGGACCGGAGCCTGGGAGGACCCTCAGAACAAGCACTGCTGCGTTGTCACAGGTGCCTGCAGGCCTTGGCTGGAAGCTCCTCAGTGACTCAGAGACCTGTGTGCAGGGATTGGGGGGGTCCAAGTTTTCCTCTGCCCCCGCCACTGAGCAGAGCAATGATGTCCATGGCACATCCTGGGGAGGGTTATTATGTGCCCCTGCCTCCTGGGTCTTCCTCACAGAGCCAAGTCACCCACCCTTGAGGAATCCCTGGACGGTAGAGCTCTCAACTGGAGGGCTGGTGGTCCGTAGCCACCCAGAGCGGCGTTGGCACCGGGCGGACAGCCCCTCTGTAAAGCACAGCCTGCAGAATCAGTCTGCTGTGCTCGGGCTGTGCGGAGGTGAGCTCTGCATTTGGCTTGGTAGCTCCTGTGGCTGCAAGTGGACAGAGAAGAACTTACAGGCCAGGTGCTGACATCAGAGACCCTGGCAGGCTGTCACCACTCTGTGCCCTTGTGCAAATGCATGAGCTACCCCAAGGTCAGCTCGGACCCACCTGCTGCCACAGTCACCCCCCAGGGTCCTGGTGGTCCTCAGGGGAGGTATGAGCTTGGGCCTAGACCAGATCCGCCTGCGCAGCTGCTGGACGAGCTTTCTGTGCATTGACTGCTTACACTCATTCTCTTCCCAGCAGCGTGGATTCTCTGGGTTTTGGCTGTTACTTTAGTTTCATGTCTTCATCTGTTAACGTCTAGCTTCATGCCCCAAAAGATTTGGGGAAGACCCATGAACCCAGTGACAATTTTTAGGCCTTGGTTCCCAGAACTCATCTTGCCCCAACCTGTATGTCCCCTGCAAGTCTATCCACTTAGGCTGGCTAACCAGCGAGGACACACAGGGAAAGCTGGTCTTTGTGACCCGACCGACCACTCGCTTTCCGCTTATTTGTGGCTTTGGATAGTGAGTGGGTCTCTTGGAATCAGCAGATAAAAGGGATCATGGGATCTGTTTTTGTTTTCAGTCCACTCTTCTAATCATTTAAGCCACTTGTACCTGTACTTATTACTGATCGGGAACGCCCGGCATTTTGCTCTTGGGTCCCCGCCCTCCAGGGGCCCTTTTGGGAGGAGCCTGGGGGCAGCTGGCAGCAGTTGGTGGAGGGCCACTAACTACAAGGGCAGCAGCTCCAACCCAGGGGAGAAAGACAGGGCTGCCTCCTCCTGCAGA